GCCTACAAGAGTCTTCGCTAGTGGTTATAAGTAGAGTCAGTCGGGGCGTGTCAGCGAGGGGTGGATTTTGGCGCGGCGCCACCACATTTTCACCATTCACTAACGCCCGAAGCTACAAATGTTCATGAAAAACGGGTCGTTGCCGCACCAAAACCGATGCGTACTGGCACGTCCCTCCTTACTTCAGTGAAAAGGGGTGTGTGAGATTAGCCAGCACTCACTGGTCGTCTGCGCTCTTCTAGGAGTGAATTTGTTGTCGGGAAGAGATTTCTACCTCGGTGGGAGAAAGCAGGCAGGAGTTGCACCAACGTGCACCCTCACGTCCCAATGACGTGAGCGCTAGGGGAAAAAAAGAGAATTGAGAATGAGAAAAGCAGAGCAGAGCAGCGTCACCTGATTTCTAAAACCTAGAAACCCGGAGGTTCTGTGCTGAAACTTCGTCTATAGGTAGTCTGCGCATTTTTTTGCGTCTGGTGAGGAATGTCATAACCACGGTAGTAACATTGAATGAGCCTTATGTGCAAGTCTGCTGAGGATCTGTGAGAAGAACGATGGCACCAATCTGAACCCCGCTGCCAAATCGGCGTTAAATGTCGCCAGCGCCGAGAACGATGCGTTACTTGCACTCAGAACCCTCAGATATTCCTGTGGCACCGTCACGTCTCGATCTAGTGTGCCCATACTTCGCGATGACGTCTTTCGATCGTACGACCGGATCGCTAGGTATAAATTTTATGCAGAAGTTTCAAAAAACCTTGCAGAAGTTTCAAAAAAATGGAATTTGAAATTGGGAGCCAGAAAAACTCCCCATCCCTCACTTACTACCTTTTTAACCACGCAGTGACATCACACCATGCGAATCTATGGGATAAATCCATCGCCCTTCGAATTAGGCGTCACGTACAAAATCTGTCTGCAATTACACTACGTACGATCGACACAACGGCAAAGAGTTCTTCCGGCTTGCACGCGTGTTTTTTTAACCATTTCATGGTTTTGCCAACAGCATTTTCTTATGTAGAATTTTTGAGAGAATGTGTCTCATTCAGTACCATCATCGTAATAGTTCCTCGCATATGCTCTTGCCTTTATACTGTGTCGTGTTTTAGATTTTCCAGGCCTTTTTTAACGTTCTCGTTGTTTCATCATCTCCTTATGCTGCTTTCATCGTATAACTTCGTATAATGCCTTCCAAAAACACAATCTGTCACTGTCGGCCCTAATCTCGTTTCAAATTACATTAGGCGAAAACCGATGGGCGGCTGCGTTATCTTGAATGCTCTGGGCTTCCCTTCCAAAACGCAGCTTGCAATGGAAATTCATATTTCATTTGTCAAGGATACTGGGCATCTGTTTTTTGCACCTCACTTAGGCGCGATTCTTTCATAGCTTGCGACCATGCAGAAAGTGAAGAAGTGCCGAAAGTGAAGAAATGCCGAAAGTGCGGAAACTGCGGAAAGTGAAGAAAAGCAATAGATACGTAAAATCGCATTGAAGAAAGTGAAGAAATGCCGAAAGTGCGGAAAGTGCGGAATCTGAAGAAATGCCGAATGTGAAGAAAAGCAATAGATATGTATCGATTTGAAGAAATTGCGGAATCGTCCTGCCGGCAAAGTGCCGAAGCGCTGCGGAAAGCGCGGAAATTCTATATGCAGCAAAGTGCGGAAAGTCGCGGCGAAAGCGCGGAATCTGCAGAATAAGTTCAAATCGATACGTATCTATTGCTTTTCTTCACTTTCTGCAGATTCCGCACTTTCCGCACCTTCGGCACTTTCCGCGCTTTCCGCACTTTCCGCAGTTTCTTCAAATCGATACATATCTATTGCTTTTCTTCACATTCGGCATTTCTGCAGATTCCGCACTTTCCGCACTTTCGGCACTTCTTCACTTTCTGCATTGAGTCGCAAGCTGTATGCAAACGCTTGCTTACGTCTTTTTTTAGGTGTATTCACCTATTATTCTTGCGTAATCCTATTCTTTCTCAGTAGAATACATGGTAGGCTGACGACTAAACGAGGATGTCACGCTCGGTCTCCATCCCATTGAGAGACAGTCTCGAAGATGTAGAGTTTTGTGTTTGCGTTTATAGCTTTGAAGCATTACTTGATTTCCTAGGGATTTTATCCTTGTGGTGTGGGTGTTGATTTCTTCCGTTCAGTTTTCTAATTTTGATAAAACCTTATTCTTCATCATTTTGATGCACTAAGAGCACCGAGAGCCACACAATTCATTTAGGTTCTTCCTTAATGGCGTTCTTTTGCTGCTGTAAAATTCTCTATCTCTGTCTAACAGATATCAGTTCCTTCAATGAATTTTAAATGACTTGAACAATTTAATTCTCGTCAAAGCTGCGTGCTCAGCTTTTTGTGAAATTCTGTTTTCTGGTTATTCACTGCATTAAAATAGAGTGCTGAGCCATCCGAGAAATTACTTAGAAGAAGATAAAAACTTGAAAAGAGGTGTGGCAGCTAATATCTTCCGTCCTGAGGGAAAATTTCTCAAACTGAGCCAGGAGATATTTTGATAGGTAGCAATTTTGTAAATTGTAGCTAAAACCGTCACTAGCCTTGATTTCAAAAGTCGGTGGGAGAGTAGTTGATATGATGTCTCAAAACTGAATTCCAAAACTGTAGATCAATAAGGGATGAATTGACTCAGAGTTAAACCCCAGAATCTAACACGCTGATGCCCATGTGGAACAAATTTTCGAATTTGTTTCTATCATGGAAAATAGGCATTCTCCAGTCGAAAGTACTTACGGTTTCCCTTCCCGCGCTTCAAAAGTTTTTATCTTCTTCTAAGTAATTTCTCGGATGGCTCAGCACTCTATTTTAATGCAGTGAATAACCAGAAAACAGAATTTCACAAAAAGCTGAGCACGCAGCTTTGACGAGAATTAAATTGTTCAAGTCATTTAAAATTCATTGAAGGAACCTGATATCTGTTAGACAGAGATAGACAGAATTTTACAGCAGCAAAAGAACGCCATTAAGGAAGAACCTAAATGAATTGTGTGGCTCTCGGTGCTCTTAGTGCATCAAAATGATGAAGAATAAGGTTTTATCAAAATTAGAAAACTGAACGGAAGAAATCAACACCCACACCTCACAAGGATAAAATCTCTAGGAAATCAAGTAATGCTCAAAGTATAAACCAAACACAAAACTTACATCTTCGAGACTGTCTCTCAATGGGATGGAGACCGAGCGTGACATCCTCGTTTAGTCGTCAGCCTACCATGTATTCTACTGAGAAAGAATAGGATTACGCAAGAATAATAGGTGAATACACCTGAAAAAAAGACGTAAGTGCAGGTGCAAAAACAGATCCCAGTCTTATAAATGAAATGAATTTCCAATGCAACTGCGTTGGAAAGGGAAGCTTCCAGAGATTCAAATAACCGCAACCGCATCGGTTTTCGCCTCATGTAATTTGAAACAGATAGGCGACATGACAATTGTGTTTTTGAAGGCATTAAATAAGTAAAGGCATGAAAAGGAAGCAGGAAAGGAAACAAACATGAAAGCAGCATAAGGAGATGATGAAACAACGAGAACGTTAAAAAAGGCCTGGAAAATCTAAAACACGACACAGTATAAAGGCAAGAGCATATGCGAGGAACTATTGCGATGATGCAAAACACTGAGTTTACACTACTGAATGAGACACATTCTCTCAAAAATTCTACATAAGA